AAAAGCTTTTGATCGGGTCTCGCACCAGTACCTCTTCCAGGAACTGCAAAAAATGGGTTTTCCTGGGAGGTTCGTAGCGTGGGTGGGACTGCTGTACCGAGACATCTCCAGCAGATTCATGGTTAACGGGTTTCTGACAAAAGCAGTGAAAGTGAACTGCGGTGTCCGTCAGGGTTGTCCGTTATCCGCCCTTCTCTACGTGACCTGCGTCGAGCCGCTCGCGCAGATCTTGAGAAGGGACCCACTGATCTCAGGTGTAACTATACCGGGGAGTGGAGGGCAGGTGGCCAAATGTCTTTTATATATGGATGATTTTAACATTTTATGTACAGATCTTTTATCAGTAGATAGAGTTTTTAAATTAACAGAATGGTTCGGTAAAGCGTCAGGCTCAAAATTAAACAGAGAAAAAACAAAAGCACAATTCTACGGACCATGGAAAGAAGATGAAAAAAACAGGACTTCAGTTTCAGGTGACCCAAGAAGAACAGAAAATTTTAGGAGTTAAATTTGATAAAAATGGCGAAGGAAAAACAAACTGGACAGAAATAACACGAAAAGTAAAACAAAAACTAGGATATTGGTCAATGAGAAATTTAACTATAGAAGGAAAGATTTTAATAGTGAAAGCAGTGATTTTACCCGTGTTTTTACTAACCAGTTCTGTTTTTATTCCTTCTAGGAGAGTGTTTTTAGAGCTGCAAAGGGACATTTTTTATTTTATCTGGGACTCCAAATGGGAAAGATTAAAACGCGATACTATGATGAAACCCAAAGAAAAAGGAGGAAAAGGAGTCCCAGACCTGTACCTGTTTTTAGGCAGCTTTTATATTAGCACTCATTTTAAACAAGCCATGAACATTTTTAACAACCCTAAAACAAATGCAATAAATAGATTCTGGTTTGGGTCATACCTACGAAAACTGAAACTTTTAAAGAGTGATTTTAGAACCCCAGTAGCTTTTAATCTCCCACCAGCATACGCTTTTATACAGAAATTTTTACAGCATTTTAAACTGGAAGGAGAGGAGATCGGGATTTTAACCAACCATCGTTTTATTATCTCTGTTGTGCAGGACCGGGAACCAGCGACTCCAGTGCGCGGCCTCCTGCGTGGAGACGCCACCGCAGTTTGGCGCAACGCGAGCCATCCCGTCCTTCCGAACAGACTCCAGGACCTGTCCTGGTTGGGGGCCCATGAGATCCTCCCGGTCAGAGCCGTTATGCACTCCCGCGGCATGTCGGCGACCTCCATCTGCCCCCGACCCGGTTGTGGCGCGCCGGAGTCGGTGAGGCACCTGCTGTGGGAGTGCAGCGCTGCCAGGGACCTGTGGGCAGAGGCCGGCTCCTTGCAATTCCCATACTTGCCAGCAAGGGAGGTCCTCGACGCACAGCTAGTGCTGTACGGGGTGAGCCACCAGAAAATGGAGAAGAAAGACTTCACAGAGATGTGGCTCACCCTTGCCACCATCAAAGACGCCATATGGACCTCCAGAAACTTGCTGGTAAGCAGGCGCAGGCAGATGCCCCCTGTGGCTGTGATCCGAATGGCGGCAGCAAGAAGAAGTACCATCAGAGCTGCAGGTGGCGCGCCAAGGACACAGCCACAAAGAAGCATCGCCTGCGCCTTCATGGACGAAGGAGCCGGAGCTCCACGGACAGAGGTCCCGGCAGCGGCGGCCTGGCCCTCCGGGTGAGGAAGGAGGGAAGGAGCAGCAGGGGAGGTTTTCTCCTCTGGGCACCAAGCGCTGTTTGGAAGGACGGGATGGCCCAGAATTTTTTAAAGAGTCACCCCGGTCCTGCTCAACCTTTTAGCATGGAGTCTGGTTTTAACATCCTTGTTCTTATCTTCTTTTAGTTGTAAATGATGTGATAAATTGTATTTTAGTCTTTGAAAAGATAATTTCTGTATAAATGTGAAATGCCATGTAAACTGTCCAAAGTGCCAATAAATTTTTTTCGAAAGAAAAAAAAANATTTTTCAATGTTTATTAAATCCTTCAACAATGAAACGTACAGTGATATCAATATTAACAATATCGGCACTGTAAAGAATACAACATTAGGTAATTATACAGAGAAGGACTTAGCTTTTAACATTTTCTCCCCTAAACCCCTCCCAATCCTCCCATACTCCCCCTCTCAACCAGTCAGAGCTAAAGCAAAGGGGAAAAAAAATATATGTACACACACATTGTATCTATTTATTTTAGACTCCTGTTATTTGAATCGCTCCTCTAGTTTTAAGAACGATTCCCATATACTCTGATATGCCTCAAACTGGCCATTTATTTTGTGAATGAGTCTTTCGTAAGAGGTGGTCTCTGAAAGTGCTGTATACCATTCTGTATAGGTAGGGATATTTTGGCCTTTCCAGTGT